GCTTTTATCATAAATTCACACCTTTTGGCTACAATGATTGCTACCCCTCTTGCTTTTGATGTACCAAATGCCTTTTCATATACATCAGCCCAGGATAATTTAAGTTCATTCACCCCTTCTTTCTTTTGACGTGTTTCTTGTAAAACTACAATATTTATTTTCTCTTTGTTAATTGATTTTTCAATTCTTGCTTGTTTGTGTTTTTCCCCCAAGCCATGTACATTCCATGTAGCTACCTTCATGATTTCCCCATCTATTCCTCATATTATATATTCCCTTTGGTCTCCTTATGTCCTCTAACATAAATCTTACAAAACTACACAGTATACATATTACCCCAAAACATAAATAATCTCTTTCCCACCCATAAACATATATAATGTCCCCCTTCCCTTTTTCAGGAGATATCCCTCCTCTCCACCACATAGGGCCTCTGGGGGAGAGAAGAGGAGCCATCCATACATGGACTTTGGTTGCCCACTCCACCTCCCTTAACCATCTTTACCCTATTTCTACACCCAAACCTATATTATATTATATTATATATTATATTATACTATATATTAACACATATCCCTTAATACAACTATTACAAATATTTATATACTTGTCTATAATGTATATACTTGTATATACATTTATATATACTACTCCCATTGTGAGTGGGAGTAGTGGCGAAGAGGACCCGATGGTAAATGAAGCAATCCATCCCTTCACTATCAAGGCCTGGATAGTAGTACCAGAAACTGAGGTCAAAGGGGATGTAGAGGCTGTCATAGACCCTGGCTACACCAGATGCCTGATCAGCCTCCCCATTGTCCAGAAGCTAGGGATAAACACAAAACCCCTAGTGCACCCCATTCAGTTTGAGTAGGTCGATGGGGCACTAATAGGCAGAGCCCCAACCATGTTAGTCACAGAACTTGTAAGACTGGAAGTGGGCCACCACTGGGAATTTATTTGATTCATAGTAGCCCCCAAAATGATGGAATTGGTTATACTAGGGTAGTGATGGCAAACCTTTTCAGCACTGAGTGCTGAAAAGGTTGCTCGGAAACATAGCACATGCACAATCATCGGGGCTGCCCTCTGGAAAAACTGAACTTCTGGGTTCTAGTGTGCATGCACGCCCAATGATCAGCCAGCCGGCACCCATGCACAGGCCAGTTTTCGGCACTGCCATGCATGCGAAGGGATCACACTGGAAAAGCTGAACTTCAGGGTTCTGGCACGCATGCACACCTGACAATCAGCTGGCTGGCATACATGCACACATCAATTTTTGGCAGTGTCGCACACACAAAGAACAGCTGATCATCACACGTGCATGCATGGTAGAAACCCGGAAGACAAACAGACAAGGCCGCACGTGCCAAATGACATGGCTTTGCGTGCCATCACGGTACTAGGGTTTGCTTGGCTGGACAAATGGAGCCTGACCATGAAGTGGGAAGATGGTTACTGGAAATTGTGAATAGGCATTGGGCCACTTCCGCCAATCCCACCAGACAAATGCCAACAGGCAATGAGCCCTGGCAGTCCCAACTGGGTAGAGAGCACAGCAGCCACCACAGAGGGACTCCCCGGCTGTCCCCAGGTGCCCAAAGAATACCAGGATTTGGCGGACACCTTTAACGAGCAAGATGGCAACTTCCTCCCCATTCACCGCCCAACAGATTGCACGATTGAGTTGGTACTGGGAGCCAAGCTGCCAAAGCCAAAAATGTACTCTATCCCCTAAAATAATGGCTGAATTGAGAAAATACATCGATGTCAACCTAGCTAGGGGCTTCATCCGACCTGCAAAATCCAAAGTGGCACCCCCTGAACTGTTTAAAGAAAAAAAAAAGGTGGGGGGATGAGGCTTTGTGTTGATTTCCATGAATTTAACACCGTGTGCATGGAGAACTCCTACCCCTTCCCCTTAATGAAGGACATGCTAAGCCACCTAGTGAAGGGTAAGGTATTCCCCAAGGTAGACTTAAGAGAAGCTTGACTACCAAGGTAGACTATCAGATACAGATTAGGGAGTGAGACAAATGGAAGACTGCATTCAACTGCTCACTGGGCAGCTTCCAGTTTAAAGTCATGCCATTTGGGCTCCAGGGAGCCACGGCAGTCTTCATGCAGCTAATTAACAAGGTGCTGCATGAGCACCTGTACAAGGGGGTCCTAGTTTACCTGGGCAACATCCTTATATTTAGGAAGCTGCTAGAAGAACACGTCAAGTTAGTCTGGCAGGTGCTGAAGAAACTCATAGCTGCCAAGCTCTATGCAAATCTCTTGAAATATAAGTTTCATAAGACTTCCCTGGGCTACGTGGGCTACTGAGTGTCAAGTGAGGGAATAGAGTAAGTGAAAGCAGTGCTAGACTGGCAAGCAGCTCCAAAGCTTCCTGCGGTTTGCAAACTTTTACAGACAATTCATTCCAGCATTCATAGAAGTGGCCCTGCCTCTAATAGAGCTACTGAAAATGGGGGGGGGCCCTCCCACAAAGCTGCACCCAATTCAACCACTGGCCTGGACACTGGATTGTCAAAAAAACATTTGAGAAGTTGAAGCAACGCTTCACTGAAGAGCCAATCCTCCAGCACCCCAACCCTGAGAGACAGTTCATCGTCCAACCTGACGCCAGTGACATGGCAGTGGAGCAGTGCTGCCCACAAGACCCACAAGATTGACTATTGCCTTGCACGTATGTATCCAAAAAGCTCACTGACACTGAGAGGAGGTGAGCGATATGGGAGAAGGAGGCTTAGCAGTCCACTGGGCTCTCCTCTCTTGGAGACACTTTTTAGAGGGGAGCAAGGTGCCCTTCGAGATCTGGATTGATCACAAAAACCTTGAAGCCCTAAAGACACCCCAAAATCTCTTCCCCAAGCAAGTCCACTGGGTGCAGTATTTCTGGCAATTTAACTTTGAGCTAAAGTACATCCCCGGGGGGGGGATATTCTGCTAGCTGATGCAGTGTCAACCACAATATGACAGTCAGAGGGAAGAAGTCATCCACACCATCATCCCCACTTCACAACAAGCGGTGCAAGTCACCACCAGGGGCCAGACCAAATGCCAAACAGCCCCCATGGAGGGGAAACTGACGGGCACTAAAAACTGCACTCCCAGCCAACCAATGGCTAAATGAGAACTGGGACACTCTAATCATGAGAGAGGGGCTAGCTTGGAAACGATTCAAGTTATATGTCCCCACCAATTTGAGGCTGCAAATCTTGCAATGCAGCCATGACTCACAACTGGCCAGTCATTTCGGTTTCCTAAAAACCCTCCACCTGGCCCGAAGACAGTTTTGGTGGCCAAAGATGAAAGCTGATGTAGAGGAATATGTAAAGAGTTGTGCCACCTGCACCACCATGAAAATGAGGCCAGGGAAATCTCCTGGACTCCTCCAACAAGTGGCTAACCCCAGTCAACCCTGGGAAGAGATCGCCATGGATTTTATCATAGAGTTTCCAGAAAGCAGAAGGAATACAGTTGTCTGGACTGTAATTGACTTGTTTTCTAAGCAAGCCCACTTCATTGCCTGCTCCGGACTACCCTCAGCCAAGAAACTAGCAAAAAACACATTTATCAGCTACACGGGGTGCCTGGCTGGGTGATCTCAGACAGAGGTGTTCAGTTCACCGCTAAGTTCTGGAGAGAGTTCATGAAATCCATCAGATCGACTCAGGGGTTTAGCTCAGCTTTCCATCCGAGTATAAACAGAGCTGCAGAATGTACAAATGCCATTCTAGAACAATATTAAGATGTGGATTACCAGCAAGAAAACTGGGCAGACTTGCTACCTTTCATGGAAATGGCTTTCAACAATGGTGTGCACAGCCACACTGGATTAACCCATTTTCAAGTCACCAGCAGCATGGACTTCACCCCCATGCCCGAACTGCCAAGAGAGCCACCCTCCTCCGTGACTCTAGCGAAATGGATGGAGTCATTAAAAAAGGGATGGGAAGACACCAAGAAGGCACCAGCAGAAGCCGCAGAAGCATACAAAAAACAAGATGACAAGCACCAATCTCTCCAGCCCCCCTTCCATGTGGGAGATCGAGTTTACCTGTCAACCAAATACATTAAGTTGAAATTGCCCAGCAAAAAGCTAGGACCTAAATTCTTAGGGCCGTTTCCTATAATGAAAGTAATTAACCCAGTGACAATTCAGCTTAGCCTCCCATGCATATTAGGGAAAGTGCATTTAGTCTTTCACATCAGCTTGCTAAAGCTCACTGTTAGCTCATGATTGAGGCTACAGAAAGGACCCGCACCCAAGCTGATAGTGGTGCAAGGGGAAACCCATTATAAAGTTGAGAAGATTTTAGACTCTAGGTTACATACAGGTCGATTACAATATTTAGTACATTGGAAAGGGTACCCTTTGTCTGAAGCCACCTGGGTTAAGAGTTGGGATGTGAAAGCAGATAGACTAGTAAAGCAATTCCATGATAAATTCCCTGATAAGCCAAAGGGAGGGAGAGGTGGTTAGAGACTGACTGAATTAACCTCCTGTGCTCCTCTTATTTCAGGACACACCTTTCAGTTGAAGGTGGGCAACCTGTCAGCCCTGGAAGCCATCTTTCTCTTTGGATCTTCATAGCTGCCACATTTCTGCTAGCTAACAAGCAAATAAACAAGCCAAACTATTCACTAAGGCTCAAGAATATGATCTAAAGTCACCCATTTTTACAATTTCTCTGCAATTCTAATACATTTGTAAGTTAATGAGCATAGGGCTGAAGTCTCTTTCATGATACCTTTGTGATGCACACTTCTTGACAGTTGCCAGAGTCTTGGCCCTATCATATATTTTCTGTATATAATCTGTAAGCAACTGAAAAATGTTGCTTTTCAACATTCAACAAGTTATGTCCCTTGGGGTAGCCCAATTGTGAATGGGCAAGCCCTTGCCTTGACAGCCATTTTATAAGTTTCCTAACTTGCTTTCAAAATTCCCAATATATGAATGGATCTGGTAAAGAAAAATCACTTACCTGTGATTTTGTCCATGCTCTCCTCTGAGACATGCTCATTTTGGTGAACCCACTCCCCATTGCATTTAAAAAAGATCTGCATTGCTGGCATGGCTCTGCAGCGCAGCACAATTGGGTTACTTTTAATTATATATGCATCATCAGGTTCTTGCATAAAATGGGGTAGTGTCCCTGGAGCAGATGGGACAGATTCTGGGAGGATTTCACTGGTGGCCGTTCCTGTAAAAGCAAAAATGAGGATGTCACACCATAGAAAGATCTTCCACCAATCCCAACTAAAAGGCAATGAATGTGTTATATTCTTTGTATCCCTTCCATACGAAACCTATAGAATAAGCTTTGAACTTCCAAAGCATACAGGTTAAAATCCAGAAGGCTGATTCTAGATCAGCATTTGTCAATCTTATCCATTTACATTCTGTGTCAGAATGTAAAATGTATCCCAGAATTCCCCAACCAGTATTCAGAAACTAAAAGGTTAAAAAGAAGTTACTCAAAAACGCCATTGGACCTTTTCTTACTGTTGAGAAATTTCCAGCCAGGCAGGGGAGAGGTCTCAAACTGATTATCCTTGAATCCTTGATCAGACATAAGGGATCCAGAACTGACACCCCCCTCCCCTTAAGCTCCATAGATCTTATCTATCTGTTCCCAGGCAAAGGCTGTCAGTCTGGGGAGATTTCTGTATAATAGGCAGAATATACTAACGTAGTTGGATTGAACCTTATGTGTGCAGATCTAGTTGCTTGTTCTTGACACCTACCTGACACAACTAAAGGTGCTGAAGAAATTTTCCTTTTGATAAATGAATCTGCATTTTGCCATTGTCTGTTTTGCTCAGTTTTTAACATAACTGGTTTGCATCATGTTCTAATAGGTCATTGAACAGCGGTTTCAAAATCGCTATAGCTTGTTTATACAATATATGCCATTTCCCAAATCCAAAGCAATAAAAATTATGCTTAGCATAGCATGTGAATTCAACATATCTATCACAAAAACATTATGATTTGCCCTCTGGATCTGCTTAAGTTGCTGGGGAAAAACATGGAAAGGTTAATTAATGTTTATTTATGCAGACCACATGGAGAGGGGGGGGGAATGAAATATAACCACATAATCAGAAAACACTAAACACTCTATAAGTAGAGGTGGCATTCGGCCAGTTCAGACCAGTTCGCGTGGACCTGTAGCGGCTATTTTAAATGGTTTGCCAAACCGGTAAATATGACCTCTGACTGGCCCCGCCCCCCCGCCCGGTCACCACTCACCACTTGCCTTGCCCACCTGCTCGCCCCGCCCAGTCACTCCTTTTCGCACCTCACTTGCCAAGAGACATGCCAGTGCAGTGGCACAGCTGCTGCTGCTCTCTGGACTGGTTCCCTCACTTGCCTCAATCATGTGGTCCAGCTAAGTTCTTCCTTCAATCACTTGCCCAGCTTCCTCCCATGTGGCTACTCTTCACCTGGCCTGAGGCCGATGGCGGGGAAGTAGGCCTGCCACACTCAGCAAGGCTCGGCAGTATTTCAGACCCAGCTCCGGGAGGGAGGCCCAACAGAAAGTGCCTGGTCCACCCAGGCACACAGCATGAGCCCCAGCATGTGTGCAGCAAGTGTGTGTGTGCAGGTGGGCCGAAGCAGCGGTAGTGATGGCTGAAGCCTTAGTATGCAGAAGCGAAGTGCAACTTGCTTTTGCACTGCCCATTCCGGTACATTTGGTGTCACCTAAAGCAGCCCTCAATTCCCTCCGTTTCAGCTGAGAGCTGGAAGCTGCAGCCTGGATCAGTCCTAGGCCTAGCTTTGCTGTGCATCACATCTTGCCATGAATGACATCAAGTTAGCCATGCCCACTCAGTCACATGACCTGCCCACCAAGCCATGCTCACCAAGCCACGCCCACACAACCAGTAGGAAAAATATTTGGTATGATTGTATGTGAATTTGACTTCTATTGCTTGCATCAACTTTTTGCAAGGCAGAGTTCACAAATAAAAACTTGATTTTTGTTTACATTTTATGGACAATAGTGCATTCCCTATCTGCTTTTCCTTGGAAATACACTGTTTACTCCAACAACTTCTCAGAGAATAAAGTTTTTATTATGATTAAATTCCTTTTCTTGTTTCTCATAGGTATGTCCTACAGAATATTTTATATAATAATATGGTGTTCAGTTTTATAGGGCCATATAAATGGTTGAAAGCCACCAGATCATAGTGCATAAAACAATAACATTTGGAATGTAGTCCTGTGCTAATGGAATGTTTAGTACTTGCTATAGTCTGGCTAATACTATTTATTTCCAGCACACTTTTTAAAATTCAGCTTTAAAAAATCTGGTGCAAATTTAAAATGTGTCTTCCTTAGAGCTAGTGGTTTGGGCAAGGCAATTTTATGCTGCATAAAGTTTTCTTTATAAACAAAAAACAAAATAAAACAAAAACCCCTTCCTATATTTAAGAAGAGAGGGAGGGGAAAAGAGAGAAAGAGAATAACATTTATTTCCATTGGTTTTAATTTTATCATTTGTTTTCAGTTAATAAAGATGTGCCATTTCTGCTTTCTCCATTACAATGTTAAAAGAGCAAAGTGGTTGGCTGTCATCAATGCAAACATATAAAAAGAATTCAAAAGTATGTTTCAATTGAATTGAATGAAAGCCAAGAGAGACAAATACAGGGTTTTTTCTTCTTCTTCTGCACAGCACTAAATGCCTTTGCCTAGCCACACAATATAGACACTTTGGAAATTAATGGCCCCACAATGTTTTGGAGGAAAGGACTGGAATCACATCTGACCTAAACTGAGCCTGCAACAAGTCTCCCCCACCCTTCCACTCTCAAGAAAGTGTTTGTGTTGACATTTTTGTTTTAGTGCTCTACTAAATAAAACTATTTTTCTAAGATAGAAATGGTCAAATTGGTTGGCCATCATTTTCTTGTATGGTGGAATAAGACAGTTTATTCCTTTTTGTAAAATATTCTTATTTTAGGAATATGGATTTTTTTCTTTATTTTTTTTCTTTATTTTTTTTTTAAAAAAATTTATATGCTGCCCTTCTCCAGAGACTCAGGGCGGCTTACAATGCGTTAAGCAATTCTTGATTCTTTTTTCCTTCATCAATCTCTGGGAGTCTTAGGAGCAGAAAGGAGATACCAAAATAGGATCTATGATGTTGGGAATACTAGTAGCCTACCCTATTCCAAGAGAAGGATAAGTATAGTTGGCACTGTCAGATGTTTCTCAGCTATTACTTTCTATGGACCATGATGTGAGTCATAATGGGAGCTAACCTACAGTATCATTGGAGAATCATGCAAGAACTTCAGTTTTATCCAAATAATCACGCTGATTATAATGCTTAGGGTAAAATACTCACAAAACAGAATATGTGCCAATTAAACAAGTTATCATGGCCATATGATCTAACTGCACCTGTTGGGTCTCCAATGAAGACAGGTAATAGTGGTTACCCAAATCAACCATGTGGCTCAATAAATGCTAGATTGTATGATCCATTCATGATCTATACAGGCTTCTTCATTTGTGAAACCTGATTGTTCTTTCAAACCAAGGAAGCTGGACAGCTGTAGTGGCTATTTATCTGGGACAGTGGCCATTTTTTAATTACTGTTAATTTTTTTAATCACAATTCCCAGTTCCATAGTAATGTTTCTAGTCACTATTTTCTTTCGATGCTTAATTCCAATTATATATTGGGGAGTTGTATGCAGGGGTGAAATGCTCCCGGTTCGGACCGGATCACCCAATCCGGTAGCAATGGAGGCTGGTGGTTTGGAGAACCAGTAGCAAAAATCCCTGCCCTCGCCTCCCCATGCCCAGATGAGCTGCACAATCATCAGAGGCTTTTTTTTTTCTTTTAAAAGCATTTTTTCTACAACCTTTTCAGCTGAAAAAATGCTTTTAAAAGTAAAAAAAAAGCCTCTGATGATCGCACGGCTCAGCTAGGATCGTCAAAGGCTTTTAAAAGCATTTTTTTCTACAACCTCTTCAGAGGTTGTAGAAAAAATGCTTTCAAAAGGCTCTGATGATCCCAGCTGAGTTGCCTGATCTGCAGAGACTTTTTTTCTTTTAAATGCCTCTGACGATCAGGCAACTCAGCTTGGATCGTCAGAGGCATTTAAAAGAAAAAAAAGGCTTTTTCCCCCCTAGTCTCCTAGTTTCTAAGAAGATGCCTTAACCACAACATCAAATTTTCTTTCACAAGTAAGTAAGCAAGTAAAATAATTAAAAAATGGGACTATAGCATATTACAAAACAAGCTTTTCAGTATCATCTTCATTCTAAAAGAAAGTCTTCAGGCTTTATGTATATCTTAACAACAAGAACAAGAATAATATGGCTGCAGCTTGGTGCTTTGTTTAGAAGACAATGGTGAGTTACAGAACAACTAGGAACCGTGGTGGTGCAGGGGTTTAAATGCAGTATTGCAGGCTAATTCAACTCACTGCTGGGCGCTTGATCCTCACGACTCAAGGTTGACCAAGGTTCATCCTTCTGAGGTTGGTAAAATGAGGATCCAGATTGTTGGGGGCAATATGATGACTCTGTTGTAAATTATGAAGCAATGTATAAGTCTAAGTGCTATTGCTATTGCTACAAGATAAAAAAAAGCATCCTGGATGATATGAAGAAATGCTGGAGAACAAGTGCTATTTTAGATGGGGTGGCAGAGAGCAGTTATATCAGTATTCCTTCCAGAAAATATCAAATTTGTGATTACCTCCCCCAACACTTGGCAATTATTTGCAACACTCAAAATTCCAAACATGTTTATGAGCCCCAAACCATGAGTTCCATTCCATCATATTATGATGTGTATTAAGTCAGATTCACTGAGTTGTCCATGGTACTGAATCACAATTTGGCCTTTGAATCAAGATTCTCTATTGTGTAAACATTTCCCTGAAGTCTCCATCAGCCATTGAATAGATCCAACTGGTTCTCTAAAGTCCATTTATCCTTGGCATTTGTGTTCAAAGCTCAATACTCTCATTAGATGTAAAATGAAATGATTTTTTAAAAAAAGGTTCCTACAGCTGAAAGGCAGTATAACTTCCTGGACTGACCAAACTGAAAGAAGTGTCTAGAATTTAGCTTCAAAAAGCTTCTTAAATGGAACTTTCTAATGGGCATCCACCTGCCTTGTTTTTAACAGTTGGAGGCTCCATTTTTCATCTTTTCACAATAATCTTTATG